AGGGACCCGAGACGGAACCTGAGCGGGAGCACGAGCCCGTGCGCGACGTTGGGTCCGAGAGGCCTCAGAGCAGTCAGGTGTGTGGGAGGCGGGGCTGCTGGGCGGGGCCTGAGCCCTGGGCTCCCAAAGTGGGAGGCGCTGATTGATGTGGGCAGAGGTGGAAGCTGCTGGCCTCAAAAAGGGGACAGTAAGGGCCTAGTGCCCTAAGAGGTTTCACTCCTGCGAGGTGACCTGGTGGGACCCCAGGTCACCTCCCTTCCGGGGACCCTAGGGCAGAGAGTCCTGGGTTCTGCTGGTCCCTCCACTCCTACTACCTGAGTAGTCAACAGAACCAGGGAATCATCCCCTTTGGGCACCAGTAGGATCNTCACTCCTGCGAGGTGACCTGGTGGGACCCCAGGTCACCTCCCTTCCGGGGACCCTAGGGCAGAGAGTCCTGGGTTCTGCTGGTCCCTCCACTCCTACTACCTGAGTAGCCAACAGAACCAGGGAATCATCCCCTTTGGGCAAGAGTAGGATTTAGGTAAGGACTTGCCTGGAAGGCATCAGTAGCAGAGCTGAATCCATTCATTCACTCAACTAGAATTTGGCGGGAGAGGTAAACATTTACAACAAGCATCAATTAAAGCTAAAGGGTTAGGGCCCTTGAGGGCACTAGGAGCATGGAGGAGCCTCTGATCCAGGCTTTAGGGAGTGGGCTTCACAGAAGCTTTCTTGAAAGAGGCCCCATTTAAGCTGAGACTAGAAGGATGCAGAGGAATTAGCTGTGAAAAGTGCAGATAGGCACTCCAGGCATGGAAATAGCCTGTGCAAAAGCTGCTCTCTCAGTCTAGTAGGGAAACCCAGAGCCAGACAGGGAAGGGGCTGGCCTGCTCTTCTGGAAAGGCCATGGGAAAGGCAGGCTGGAACTGAGGTCATGGGTGTCGGGTTTGTCGTCAAGGCAGGCCTTGGGAGGGGAAGGAGAGGCTCAAGAAAGGAAAGGGGGCTTGGCATTGGGTTAATAATCCCTCACAGCTTCCTGTCTGGGAGCTGGTTCTGTTCCCAGGGCCAACTTACCATTCATCTTTACCATGTCACTTATCTCCCGGTACCTTAGTGTTTGCACCTGGAAAAGGGGATCTTTGAGCCAGAATTCCTTTGGAAGGAATTTAGTTCTTACTCGTAGGAATCAACCCTCTGCTTCTACATTGATTTACACCAATGTCCCACCATATGTTTGCATACTTACAGTGACAGGGAGCTCACCACCTCTCCTGGGAGATCTTCCAGGATACAGGGAACCTTGGTGGCCAACTCCAAGGTTCCAGGAGAAGAAGGGGGAGGCCCAGAGGATGGAGGGGCAGGCTACAAAACAGAGGGCTGTGTGACTTACCCAGGGTTACCCACCAAGCTGATTCCAGGCCCAGAACCTGGGAGAGGCCAAGAGGGCTCAGCAGCAATTGGCTCAGCTTCCACCTTGGTCCCCGCAGGAACTGGAGCTGGTGGAGAGCCTGCTGAAGAGCAGACCAGAGGAGCCCGAGGGCTGCTGGGAGGCACGCAGTGTGGGGGCCGGGGGCTCACGGGGCAGCTCAGGCCGCCAGGAGCGCAGCCGGCTGCCCTGGGAGGACACAGCTGCCATAGAGGAGGATGCCTCCAAGTTGACTGCCCTGCGGTTGCGGCTGGATGAGTCCCAGAAGGTGCTGCTCAAGGAACGAGAGTGAGTCCTGGGAGGCAGGCAGGTGCTAGGGGGGTGGGCCAGAGCACCTTCAGTATCACAGGATGAAAATCTGTGTCACAGAACGTGAGACTTGCTGAAGAGGAAGAGTATTATTTGGACTTGAGCCTTGCAATATTAGAGCAGTGGTGCTCTACCCAAGGACCCCTTGCAAGTTTTTTTTTATTATTACTATTCAAATACTATGTAATGTGTAAATCAGAGTGAGGTCTTAGGCCTCAGATCATTTTCACCCCCAGGGATGTCCAATGGGACATGTACACATTACCCAGGATGCAGGGTAATTCCTGGATGGGCAGGATATCCTGGGCATTGCCAGGCATCGGGTACTAAATGACCATGTCATCATGATAACCAGAAATGCCCCCTTGGATTTCTAACATGCCTCCTAGAAGGTGGCATTGTCTCTCCTTTAAGAACTCTGTGTTAGGGGAGTAAAATGTTAGAGCCTCAGAAAGGAGACGGGTGTGGTATGGGATTGGGATGTGCAGCATGCTGGAGTGTAATAAGTGCATCTATTGGTTGAGCACTTACTATGTGCTGGGGCCAGGCACTGTGCTTGTTACCAATGGTACATCGTTTATGCCCAGGTAGGGGGTCATGGGAGAACGTGGGAATCCCACCCAGTGATGAAGACAAGAGGGAACCCCTAGGTCTGAGGGTCACTGGACAGTGTTTTCCAGCTTTTCTAACTACAGAACCATGTTTTCAAACCAAGCCTTACAGGGAGCCACAGTGCATGAAACGGGAGCAGGGGTCATATTTGGCAGATGATCCTGGGGTCCAGGGAAAGGGAGGCACCTGCCAGAGGTGGCCAGTGCCCTGGAGGCCTGGTTTCCTCCTCACACCATGAACTGGACACCTGCAGTTGTGGGAGGGGTATAGTTCCATGAGAAATGCAAAACCGGATGCCTGCCACGGTGTAAGGTGCCAGGGCCTTGAATTCTGAGGCAAGAACTTTGGCCATGGCTCTGCAGGTGCTGACTGCATAGAAAGACTCTGAGCAGAGGGCCCTAGTGGACTCACCACCGTGTCTTCCTTTCCCTCTCCCCTCCCCAGGGATAAACTGACACTGAGCAGGAACATTGAGAAGCTGGAGGGGGAACTCAGCCAGTGGAAGTTCAAGTACGAGGAGCTGAGCAAGACCAAGCAGGAGATGCTCAAGCAAGTGAGTCTTGGAGACAAGGGGGGCTTCTTGGAGGAAACAGCATTGTGCTGCTGAATTTCAGCAGTGGGAATGGATGAAAGAAGGGAATTCATTTATTGTCCAGCACCGGCCATGTGCCATGCACTGTTCTGAGTGCTAGGGTGGATAATGTCCCTGCTTTCGGGAGCTCGCCTGTGGGAGTGGAGGAGGGGGAGCCTGACAGGAACCAGACAGATAAATTCATAAGCTATGAAGTAGTCAAAACTGTATAAAAATGATGGGGGGGTGGTAGGTCAGGAAAGGCCTAAGAAGGTGACATTTGAGGCAACACCTAAAGGGATTAGAAGAAGCCACCCTTGAGAAGATATGGGGGCAAAGTTCCTAGCAGAAGATACAGCTAATGCAAAGGTCCTGAGGCCAGAACAAGCCTAGTGTGTACAGAAAACGAGCCAGTGTGGCTGGAGGGTGGTACATGAGAGACGAGGTCGCAAGGAGAGCTTTGTAGACCTGGGCGGTGGGGAGGAGTCCAGATGATGCATTCATTGGTGCCCAGTGTGTGCGGGAGCTCACTGAAGCCTCACGGCAGTCAGGAGGCTGCCTAATTTTATAAATGAGGAAACTGAGGCTCCAGCCGGCAGAAAGGGGACTCAGCTTCCCCACCACAGTGTGGGGGACTCAGAGCAGGCAGGAGTGAGGCTAAGCAGCCCTTCCTGGCTCCTGTGCAGGCTCCCATGGCCACCAGGGGGCACAGCCACCCAGAGAGAGCTGGCTGGTGGGAGGACCACAGATCTCAGCGCCTGAAACTCTGCCCTGGAAGGGACTGACCCTGGTCTTAGGGAAGCTCCAAAAATACAGATTTCCAGACCCCACCCTCACCCTCCTGAATCATTGTCTTTGGGGCTCGGGTTTAAGAATCTGTCTTTTTAATGTTTGCAAATTGCGAGGTTTAATCACTTGCAGAAAAGTAAATAAAACACAAATGTGCAGTTTTGCAGATAGTTATAAAGATTTGCTTTTCCCTCGACATATATATTTAAGGCCCATCCCTGCCACTGCACGGAGCGGTAGTTTGTTGGTTTTCCCTGCTGTCAACAGTGGCTCCACACTATGTCAAAAGTACCCCTGGCAATTCAGATGTGGCCAACCCTGTACCTGCACGCAGGCTGTGTTCAGATCCACTTGATGCATTCAGCCAGTGTACCCTGAGTGCTATCCGATGCCAAGGCCATACTGGGGTATAAAGGTGGGGAGACAGACAAGCTCTGTCTTCCGGAGCTCCCATTCTCATGGGGAGTGGGATGGCAAGTAGAGGACAGGTGGGGAAGACAGGAGGAGAGGCCTCCCTGAGGAGGGGGCATTTGGGCCAAGGCTTGAGAATGAGAAGAACTCATGCTGCAAAATAACTCAGAAAAAAGTGTATGAGGCAGAGGGAGCCACATGTGCAAAGGCCCTGGGGTGGAAAGCGTGTATTTGAGGATTAGAAAGGAGGCCATACAATGAACTAAGAGGAAAGAGATGGGAGGACTTTGTGAGACCGTTTTGAGGGGTCAGTTTCTAAAGGACCTGGGATGGGGACATGATTGCATTTATCATTTTTAAAACTCACTCTAGGCTACTGTTGTGGAAAATGGGTTGATGGGAGCCTAGCAGTGGACACTGGGAGGCTAGGTGGTAATGAGGTAGGAAATGAAAGATGTTGGAAGCGGCACAAGTGGTCAGATTCAAGGTCTGTTCTGAACACCCGGTGGCCCATTTGGGTACCACCTTCTTGCTGAGCACTCCTCACCACTGCCCATCCCCCAGAGCTGGTTCTGGGTGGTGCTCACATAACCAGGCTGGGCTGTATCCTGCAGCTCAGCATCCTGAAGGAGGCTCACCAGGACGAGCTGGGCCGCATGTCTGAAGACCTGGAGGACGAGCTGGGTGCGAGATCCAGCATGGACAGGAAGATGGCTGAGCTGAGGGGCGAGGTGAGGCTGCCAGTGGGACCTGGGAGGGCTGGGGGGCTAGGGGCCCTGCCTCTAACAGCTGGTCACTTGAAAAAAGCCTGTACTCAGGGAGACCAGCCACACCCCGGGGGGGTATCCCAATCTGCAGGGGGCAGTCTCTCTCCCACAAAGACCAGAAGCACCCTCGCATCCTGCACACGTGAAATGAGCCCAGGTTAATTATAGCACTGCAGCTGGACCTGCTTCCTGGAGCCAAAAACAGCTCCAGGAGTTGGGGGGAGGGGCCGTCCAGCTCAGGCCCCCCTTCCCCAGGGGCCCTCACCCTGTCCTGCCTTGTTGCAGATGGAGCGGCTGCAGGCGGAGAACGCAGCTGAGTGGGGTCGGCGTGAGCGGCTGGAGACCGAGAAGCTGGGCCTGGAGCGAGAGAACAAGAAGCTGCGGGCGCAAGTCGGGGACCTGGAGGAGGCCCTGGCCCGGAGGCGGCGACAAACAGCCAGCGCACTGGACTGCGACCTGCGGGCCAGCCAGGCTGCACTCTTCGAGAAGAACAAGGTGTGGCAGTGGGTGGCGTGGCCAGGACTGGGGTGGCCCTGTCTCCCCAGCCAGCCAGGGCAGAGTACCTCCTGTGTGTCCAGTGTCAGACCCACAGGGACCCTGGAGACCCCTGAAGTAACAACTGAGGACAGAGGTGATGATCGCCCTAGAAGTTGCTCCTCCTGGGCACCCACTATAGGTCAGGCTCAGTGATAATTGCAGTACCTGCATGTATTAAGCACCTACTGTGCGTCCTGTGCCCGTGCTTTTTGTCCATTATATCACCTTGGTCCTCTCAACAGCCCTTTTATTTATGCAACAAATGTTTTTTGAGCACTGTCACTTGAAAAAAGTGTAGGTCTCGTTCAAAGGCTATGGGCTGCCTTTGAAGAGCAAGGTGGGTGTGAGCAAAGTTCTGAGTGCCACTGGTTGCCATGTGGAAGGTGCATGGGAAGGCAGGCCATGGGGAGGCTGGCACTTTTTCCTGGGGCAGCAAGAGGTGATGGAGGCCTAGACTAGGCCAAGGTTGGCGGAGATAGAACAAAGAGGATGGATTCCAGAGACCTTTAGGCAGTGCCTAGCCCCATTTTACAGATATGAAAACTGAGGCTCGGAGAAATCCCAGAGCTCAGGGGTGGATGTCTCCTTTCCTGGCTGCTCATCCTCTTCTTGGCCATTTGGCTTCTAATCTCTCTTCCTCCCACACCCACTCCCAGCTTAGTTCATCCCTGGACATGGGGCTTTAAGTGCCATGTATACACCAAGGACTGCAGACCTCATTCCTCCCCAGAAAACCTGACTCAGCACCGGTAGCCTGCTGGACATCCCACATCATTTCTACTAGGCTCCTCAAAGTTACACGTGCAAAATAGAGCCATTGAGTCACCCCCCCAGTCCTATCCCCTCATTGACCCCCAGGCCCTCTCACCTCACTAGATGGCACCTCTCGCCTCCAGCTACTCAGCCAAGTATTTCAGACAACAGGTGGGGAGATTCTGGGGAGAAGGGATGCCAGCACCCCTTAGAACTGCCTGACATGGTACGCTCTGACATTGAGCCCTCCCCTCATCTCTGCTGCCCTGCAGGAGCTGGCAGACCTGAAGCATGTGCATGGCAAGCTGAAGAAACAGTTCCAGGAGAAGGTGGCAGAGTTGGCACATGCCAACCGGCGGGTGGAGCAGCATGAGGCAGAGGTGAAGAAGCTGCGGTTGCGGGTAGAGGAGCTCAAGAAGGAGCTGGCCCAGGCTGAGGATGAGGTGAGCATCCAACTGGGGTAGGAGTGTCACTCCATGCTGCGTCCCCAGTGCCTGGCATGAGCCTGACTCTCAGGGTGTGCACAGGGTGGAGGTAGTGGGCGGGTGGGTGGTGGATGGATGGTAGGTAGGTGTGTGGATAGGAGGCTGAGAAGAAAAATGGACAAAGTTGATGAGAGGTTGAATAGATTAATGGATGGATGCGTGGGTAGATGTGTAGGTGATTAAATGGAAGGACAGAAAGATAACTCCATGGATGGATGAACAGATGGATGAGAGACTGGGTGGACTGAGGAATGGGAGAGAGAGGGAGGGAGGGAGGATGGATGGATGAGATGTGACAACAGACGTCTGATGGGTGATTGGATGGATGGTTGGATGGGTGGATAGATGATGATGGATGAGTATATGGAAAGATGGATGACTGAGTAGACAGTGGAAAGATGGATAGACAGCTGACTGGGTCAGTGGGTGGGAGAATGAATGGACAGGGAAGGAGGGACAGAAGGATGGATAGATGGAAAGATAGGTGTGTCTGGGAGAGTGGAAGGACACATAGACAGGGTGAATGGGTGGCTGAATAGATTAGTGAATGGTGAGTGGGTAAGTGGGTATCTTCATCGGCAGATGGATATTTCCATGGATGAATGGTCACATGGACAGATTGATGGGGATAGATGGGTAGGTGGGTTGATAGATGTATCAGTAGCTTAGAGCATTGGTGGATGGGTAGATTTAGAAGGGAGGGGCAATAAGGATGGAGAGGAGCAAAAGGGACGCTTCCCTGGAGGAGGTGGGCCTTGGTCCAGGCCTCAGAGGAGAGACAGGGCCTACTCTCCGGGAAGGACATTTCCACTGATGAATGGCAGATGGCAGGCCAGGCTGGCCCAGCTCAAGGTGACCCCCATGCTGTTGGCCCTGCTCACCCCCCAGCTGGATGAGGCCCACAACCAGGCACGTAAGCTGCAGCGGTCACTGGACGAGCAGACGGAGCAGAGCGAGAACCTGCAGGTGCAGCTAGAGCATGTGCAGTCCAGGTGGGCCCGACGTGTACCCCGGGGGCGGGGGGACCGGGGTTCCAGTGGGGAGAAGATTCCTGGCCAAGGCACAGAAATAGGGCAGAGAGACTTCCAACCAAAGGAAACCCCCCTCCTGGGCAGGTTTGGAGCTCAAGCTAGAGAAGAAGACAGGAGAAGGAAGAGGGCCGGGCTCCCTCAGGCCAAAATCCTGTCCCCTCTGGGCAGGAAGGGCCAGGGCCAGGAAACCAGGCGAAGGGGAGTGCAGGAAGTGAGACCAGCTGGGAACCTGGAATTGTCTCCTATAGCCAGAGAGCAGAAAGGGTGACCAGACCGGTCAGGGCCAAGGTGGGGTAATAGGCAGGGCCCATGGGCCTGGGAAGCCATTGGCAAGAACAAGCAGCCCTCAGGGTCTCTGGGCTAGGCTGATCCCAAGCCAGCTGGGATCGGAGGAATCTGAGAAGCCCTGGCCCCATGGTAGTCTCGAGCCCTCAGACAGGGCCACAGGGTCTCTGGGGTACCCACCAGCACACTCTACATCTCTCCCCTGCCACCCTCCCCATCCCAACACCCTGTGAATCGCACCGTCTCCCTCACACCTCTTAGAGCCATGAGATATCAGAGAACATCAGGGGCGCATAACCATAGCACTGACCGGCTCTTCCTGGGCTGGGCCCTGAGCAGGCCCTTAACTCGAATCCTATTTCATGGAATGGGAGCCTGGGCTCTGCAGCCAGATGGCCTGGGTGGTGGGAATCCTGGCTCTGTGCTTCGTAGCTGTGTGATCTTGGGCCACTTACTTAACCTCTCTGTGTCAGTGTTTCCTCATCTCTAAAATGGGGACAATAATAGTTCTTACCTCTTGGTTATTGTTGGAATTAAATGAGCTGGTATGTGTTTATAAAAGTATACCTGGCACGTCATAAATGCTGAATGACTGTCAGCTGCTGCTGTTACCATTACTCCTGGGTGGGGGACTTATATTTGGGTCAGATATTGTGCTACAAGAGTCGTGCTCCTATAAGAAGGGAAGGGGAAGACTTTTTTCCTAGAGGTTTAGCAGATGAGGAAACTAAGGCACAAGAGGATAAGTCCCTCCACGGCTACGCCCCTCCCTCCTTGGCCATCTGCCATTGGAGCCCTTATTTACTAAGCACCTACTGTGTGCAGCTGTGTGCTGAGTTCCCGTGAGGAAGACAGGCTGGGGAACCAGACATAACAGCTGTGCAACATGGCCAACCAAGCCTCAGTTTCCCCTTCTGCTGGGCATGTTACCTATAAAGTGTTGGGCAGGGGTCCAGGCATGAGTCCAAGTCGGGCTGTGTCTGGCCAGCTCTGCCCAGTCCCCCGCCCCAGCACACACCCCATAAAAGGCCGCCTAGCCCCAGGGCTTTCCCGCCAACTTGGCCGCATTCTTAGGGAGTCGTAAACTCCCAAAATGGACAGGCAGGCGCTGCCCAGCCTCTCAAGTGCTTCCATGGGGAGGGCGCGGCCGCCCAGGACCGCTGCCTCGTTTTCTTCTCCAACTTTTTGTGCTTTAGTGTTCCGGGGACAGCGCACTAAATCACAGCGCAGTAATTGAGGCCCCCGCCTGCGCCCCCCCCCACGTTAATAATTCATGCCTTCCAGTAAGATGCCGCCAGGCGGCCACTCTGCTGGGGGATGGGCATCCCCGCCACAGCTCTTCTCAGGTCCAAGTTCGCCTGGTACACTTTGGCTTAGGAACTTCAACGTGGGGAGAGGCTAGGGCAGAGCACTTTCTCACTGACACTGAGGATGTAGGGGGCTCAAATCCCCCCAACCCGCAAACTCACTTTCCGTGGTCTTTAGAGCTGGACTTGGGTTTGAATCCCGGCAGCGTGACCTTGAGCAGCCTCTCACCTCTCCAAGCCCCTACCCCACTCTCGCCCACTCTGGGAGTGGGACTTTGGGCAAATTACTCACCAGCTTCGTGCCTGGGTTTCCTTGTCTATAAAATGGGGGTGACAGTAGCACCTCCGTCATTTCAGGGACTCCTGGGAGGATGTGATGAGGTAATGTTTGTAAAAGGCCCAGCCTGGTGCCTGGCACGCAGGCAACACCGGTCAGCCCAGCAGATGAGATCTGAGCCTTGCCTCCGCTGTCACCCCCAGGCTTCGCCGGCAGCAGCAGACCGCCCCCCTCTTCGGGAAGATCCGCAGTGCTCGCTTTGGCACTGAGGAGGCCGGGGACGGCGCCAGCGACCTGGATGACGACGAAGACCTGCAGATCCAGGTGGCCTAGAGCTCCCCGGCTGGCAGGACGGGCCCAAGGCCGCAGCAACCCTGGGTGCCCAGGCTGACTGGCCACTCGAACTGATGCAGCTGCCGGGCTCGCTCGGGGAGCGACCCCACTCCCTGCCACAGACAACCCTTTCTCTCCCAGGGTGGGGTCAGTGGCCCACCCTACCAATGCCCCGTGGAAGGGTACCCACGGCCTATGTTTTTTATATATATAGATATATTTTTTATATATATGCCTGGTGTTATAAACGCAATACTGCTCCAAGGCCTGGTCTAGGTGCCCCCACCCACCCAGGACTTTCATGTAGGGGGAGGGGGATGTCAAGAGAGGGCCATTGAGTCCCCAACCCAGGCTGCCTCTCTGAGCTGCGGGGGGGTTGGGCGGGATCTGTTCATAATACAA